TGAAGGTGTCATGGGTTTCAGTGACTAAGCAGAGGATGGGAGACTTCAGAGGGGTCTTTGTGACTGGAGGTAAATGCTATGAACCATGGAATACAGACACAAATAACAGCAAGATATCTCTAAGCGATCAGAAGGAATTAACCACATGTTGGTTGACACCAGTATAAAGCCCTGACTAGAGTAGCTGCCCACATCAGAGACCAGTGGTACCCAGAGTAAAGCATGGGGACCAGATGTCCTCACCCTACCACCATGATGTTACATACCTTTCTTCTTGTGAACAAATGTCACCAACTGAGCTTCCTAGATTTTTGGTTTTGCGTGTTTTGATTCTAGAACACTGATATCACTGAAATAAGCATGTCTTTTCCCAAGGTGAATCCACATTTGTTAAAACAACTGCAATATTTTGGTCAAACTTTGTATGTGTTTGTGTGCTTAACTCACCTGGTTCTCTTTCAGTGTTATCTGTCCCTGTTCCTTACACCCAATGAAGGTTCTAACACATCTAAAAATCTTCTCATCTTGTTGTACTCTCTGAACAAAGTTGGCTGGAAAGAAGCCAATCCTGTCTTGAATTTTCCCCTGAAAGGAAAAGGAGGCACACACCACAGTTCCAGCATTTATTATAATTAGCATTACCAAATGATTTTTTTTTTTAAGATAAGGAAATGCTTACTTTCCACCAGTCTTCATTGGAATCCTCTAGAAGAGTAATCATGTCTCCTGGTCTAAAATGGAGAATAGATGAGTTAGATGGGGATGTGGAAGGGGAGAAAAAAAAGAATAAAATGATACTTAAAAGTCAGAAGTAACGGTTTTTCATTTATTCAAATAATCCTAAAATAAATAGAAATATAACAGAAATGATTTGTACCAGTTCTTCCCAATGAAAATAGCCTTGTTATGCATTGAGAGCAAGTATAATTTCTGGGCTATATTTTTAAAAATAATCTTCAGTGTTATTTTTATACATTAGCTTACTTTTTACTTTAGCTTTATTTTTATGCTTTAGCTTTACTTTTATTCATCAGCTTTATTTTTATACGTGTAATTTTAAATAATCATCTTTACATTGTATAAAACACCAAAAGTTGGAAGTTGGTGAGTTTCAAGATGCAAATCTCCATATTCTGCCCAGAGGTGACCACTGCTAATAGATTTCTGTGTATTGTGCTAGGCCCTTTTATATGCAATTAACATTTATAGATAGATATGTATATGTATTTTACTTTTTTCTTTTGTGTACTATTGACATCTAGAATTAGTCGCTATCTGTATTTTTCAGAACCTTCTAGAAATTTGGCACATTTTTACTTACCTCTACTTTCCTTGCCTATCACCTTTTGCATCAACATCATCTGATATTTTAGTTCTAGATGGATACACGTGCGCACACACGTGTGTGCGCGTGTGTGTGTAGGTGTGTGTATGTTTACATCATTCATCAAGAATTACTTGGGTTTAAGTGAAGACTTACGTGTTTTTCTTATTGCCACTGGTGTTGATGTGGTGGTTATTTGCCACTTTTTGTTTGATTCCCATGTTCAGGGGTGTGTGTGTGCGTGTGTGCGTGTGTGGACGTGTGCCTTAATTCTTCCTACACAGCACTTACTGGAGGCTTTACAATCTGAAGACTCACTATTTTTCACTTTGGAAAAATTCGGCTACCATTTCTTTCATTGTTTCCGCCCAGCTTTCTTCTATCCCTATAGACCAACTCGTCAACTCATGTCGAACTTCTGGGTCAACACTTCATGCCTATCATCTTTCTTATACATTTCCCATCTCTTTTTTCTCTATGTTCTTAATTTTTTTCTCGGTTTTACCTTCCTAATCACACATGTTGTGTTCAGCCATGCCTCTTCTATCACTTGGCATGATACTGAGAATTTTTTAAGAAAAACATTTAATTTCCAAGAAATATTTATCATTTTCTGCAAGTTTCCTTTCCACATCCATCACTTTCTATTATGAATGCAATATTATAATGGATCTTACTGAGGATATTATTCTATATTTAAAACAATATTTCTTCTCTTCGCTCAATTGTTTCCTCCAGGATTAGTCTGTTGCTTATCTTGTTACTTCTCCTTCATGTCAAGGGATTTTCTCCAACACGTGGTGTGTCTTGGTTGTCCCTATATTAATGGATGGCAATCAAGGTGGATGGGTGTGAGCAGCTGGGTGCGTTTCTCTGCCGTTAAGTATGTCTGTATTGGCAGTGGGTCTCCTTCCTGAGTGAAAGGGCTGAGTGTGGGTTCTGTTTAAGAGGGCAGGGTGTGTCATTTGGCAAATTTTGTTTTTAGATGCTTGAAAGTATAGCATGCAAGCAGGCTGGAGCCTCCTACTGCTAACTCCATTGATAACAAGGAGAGCTTTCTTAACCCTGGGGAGACAGGTCCTTTTACTTCCCCCCGCAAGTACAGCTGCCTTTTCCTTCGCCCTCATTCCAGTTCGGAAGGCTCAGAGTTATCTCAACCTGATTCTGCTTCTCTCAGGCTTCTATGCCCACACGGAGCCCTCCTCAGGCACAGTTTCTGTTCTTTAGAGCACAGGTCTTGGTTTAATTCTAGAGTCAGGCACCATTGCTGCTTATTGCTCCTTATGAACAATAACGTGGCATTATGACCAGTTCTTTGATTGCTCTGGGACTCCATATCAGTGATCTATTGCCACAATCATGCTGCAGTAAAAATAAAACCACATAAATAATAATAAACCAATAAATAATAAAACCACAACACCCCACCCACTCACGTGCCTGGGTGTTGGCTGGCTGCCGGCCGGGATGACTGGGCTGACATGGTCCTGCTCCATGTCTCTTATACCCCTGCGGGCCAATTTGGACACTGATGGCAGTAGCAAAGGTTCAAAAGCAGGTAAGTGGAAAGATGAAAATCACTCAAGGCCTCTAAGGCCTAGGTCAAGACCTATGCATTGTCCCTTCTGCCTCAATTTACTGGCCAAAGCAAGTCGAGGCCAGCCCAGACTCAAGGGATGGAGTAATAGACTCCACGTCTGTAATGATAGGAACTGCAAAGTGACGTGGCAAAGAGCATGAATACAGGGAGGGAGGGGTGAAGAATGCGGGCAATTCATGTCATCAGTGCACTGAGGACAGCCTCATGTTCTTGAGTGAACCGGCTCTGAGTTCAGTGTCTCCTTGCATGCACTCTTGCATCTAAAGTTACTGGTTTGTTGGTTGGTTTTTCCTGAGCATTATTTTGGTTTCGGATCATCTTCACTGTCCTCAGCCCAATTCTGTTTGCTTTAGTCTGAAACCACCAGCGACTCCACGAGAGAAAGATGCAGCCGTCTGCTTCCGTAGAGATTTACAGCCTTGGAAACCCTACGGGGTCGCCATGAGTTGGAATCAACTTGGCAGCAGTGGGTTTTAGTCTGATAAGAAATTCCCCAAATTT